CAAGGATAGCACATGTGCACTGACAGAATATTGTGCTTGGTATAAGTAGACTGTGGGGAAGTGTCTGGAGATGTTTGGGAAGGAGACTGCAGGTCTGTTCTCTCCTGGCCAGGTTAGCTACTGGGGAGTTCTGTTCTCTGGGAAAATTCTAACCATCCTGTAAGAGATGCCTATTCCTGCATACTTTACCTGCTCATTCTCACTTCCACAGCTGCATTTCACTACATCCTGGCATACTTCACCTTCTCTTTGCTTTCTGACAACTGGCCCTTCACTCTCCTCTGAGGCTCAGCAGAGTTCTCAGGTCCTGCTGGTAAACCTTACCCACTATAAATAGAGGTACGCCATTCACTGAAATACTCCATCCTTAGAACACTACAACTACTACTACTATATCCTCTTAACACAGTCTCACTTTCTTTTGACTATTACCTCTTCATCCCTTCTCCTGAAGAAGTAAACCTACTTCCCAGAACGCTGCTCCCTCCAGGTTCTAAATATAACCCTTATCTCTACAGCTCCAGAGAACAGGAGCTGGAACCATGGGCTCATCTAGTGAAAATGGGTCATAATATGACATCTACAGTGTTCCTCTTCTTCAGGTACCAAAAAGTGCTCCTGTTGTTTCCCTACAAGCAGGAGAAGTGGGTGTGGCTAAGAAAAATCATGGCTATTGGGAGGGGAGAGGAGGACCAACATTTCCTCTACCATTCACTGGTGGCAGCTGGAACAGTAGATGAACAGAAACAGAATCATTGGGGCCACCGGGCGGAGGCATAATGCATGTGACTGCAGCACTTCCTTGGGCCTACAGTGGTCATTGTTGACTGTAACCTGGGGCGACCTCTAAACAAGAGCAGTGAGGGAGTCTGAGCAGGCCTGGGCTGGTCCCACCCTGGTCCCACATTCCAGCTTAGTCTGCTTCATCTTTCTGGATTTTTTTTTTTTTTTTTTGGATCTGTTTCCACAGGCAAGGTCAACAAAAGCAAAAATAAACAAATGGAACTGTATCAAACTAAAAAGCTTTTACACAGCAAAGGAAACCACCAACAAAATGCAAAGGCAACCTACTGAGTAGAAGATATTCACAAGTGATATATCTGATAAGAGGTTAACATCCAACATATATAAAGAACTCCAGGACAGCCTGGGTGGCTCAGCAGTTTAGCACTGCCTTCAGCCCAGAGTGTGATCCTGGAGACCCTGGATTGAGTCCCATGTCAGGCTCCCTGCTTGGAGCCTGCTTCTCCCTCTGCCTGTGTCTCTGCCCCTCTCTCTCTGTCTGTGTCTCTCATAAATCAATCAAGCAATCAATCTTAAAAAAAAAAAAAAAGAACTCCAACTCAATAGCACAAAAAACACACAACCCCACTATCTAAAAATAAGAAAAAATTAGTAACTCATCTTCCCCCTGCCTCCTGCCCAAAAGGGTCAGAAATCCATAAGAAGGTATATTATAGAAAAGGAAATTAAAATTAGCAACAAACATGTTGAAAAGATGCTCCTTTTGTATTAATAAGGGAAACGAACATTAAAACCCCATCGAGATGCCATTTCACAGCTTTTGGATTAGAAAAAAGTTAAAAAGTCAGACAATGCCAATGTTGTATAGGCAGCAGAATAGTTGTGGGTAGGAGCATACATGACACAACACTTTGAAACAGAAGTTGACATCATGAGCAGTGTGAGTCATGCCTGTCATCTGTGACCAGTATTACCCCTGCTGGGTATTACAGACACATGGGGAGACATGGGCAGGATGCAATATTGCTTGAGCAAAAACCTGGAAATCACCCATAGAAGGGCCGGAATGCCCTCCTAAAGGGAACAACATATTGTGATACTCCTCTATTCTAAACCACCAACTGGTTTCCCACTGCAGTTAAAATAGAACTCTGAACTCCTTCTACAGATGCCATCAGATGCCACTGTCCCCGGGTTCGTCAAGATGTAAGATCCTCCCTACGTCAGGGCAATATGTCCTTTCCATGGTCAGTCCACGGTTGGCTCTTTTCTCATTCTCTCAAACAGCTGAATTATCACTTCCTTAAAGAGTCCTTGACTTGTCATCCCATCTAAGTTAGCTTGCCCTATCTTGTTCTCTTTCTCAGCCCCGTAATTGTTTCCTCTGATAACATATGTTAATATAAGAATTATTTTTTTTTAAAGATTTTATTTATTTATTCCTGAGAGACAAAGAGAGGCAGAGACATAGGTAGAGGGAGAAGCGGGCTTCCCACAGGGAGTGGATGCGGAACTTGATCCCAGGACCCCAGGATTATGACTGGGGCCAAAGGCAGACACTCAACCACTGAGCCACCCAGGTGCTGCTAATATAAGAATCATGTGTATAGGTGTATGCATTCATGCATTCATAATTTTTTAGCCTGTCTTTGACATTAAACTCATAACCTCTGTGAAGGCAGAGATTAGGTCTATCTTGCTTATGATCATATCCATGTGTGTCCTGCGTAGCCTGGCATGGTAGTTGCTCAATAAATCTTTGTTGAATGATTAAATAGGAGCACTGCATAAATTGTATCTGTGCCTGTATGAAGTAGTTTGTTGATATCAGAGTACATTTTATTACTTCTGGTTCTGGAAATGATAACGGGATACCACATAAGTCATAAATTCTTAGTATTTATTAGAAGGTAAGGGGAAGTGTTTACCTGGTCTTATTTTTTACTGCAGGTAATTAACCAACATGTGCTTAAATGCTTCCACAAATTATTTTGAATGATTTTATATATAATACACTGAGTAGATTTTTCAACCAAACTTAAAAAGTCTTTCAATGCCCAAACTATTTGGAGATACATATAATGTTTTGAGATGGGTTCTAATACACATTAAAAAAAAAAACATTTAGTATATAGATACTAATATAAACATTTGAATTTGAATATTCAAATATGCAGGTGAGATAGGCCTGGGCTATTTTTGAAAGAGGCATGAGTTTAGGTTGAGGCAGGTTTTTATTTTATTTTTATTCTATTCATTTAAATTTATTTGAATAATATGTTTATTTAAATTATACTTTCTGTATATTATATATTTTAAATATTTGTTTCTGCATTTTAATTTTATTTTTCCTGATTTAATCTTGAGCTCCTAAAAGAGTTGGCATTATCTACAGAAGAGGTGGATGAGGCAGACAAAATAATTTGAAAAACATTAGAAATTCAGCAAAATATGGAAATTACATTTTCAGGTTTTATATCTTCAGTTATAGGAGTTGTGCTTTTGCTCAGACAATTCAAGTGAGATAGATTCATTTTAACGATGGATGGAAAAACTAAGCTAACCTAAAAGCAGAGATATCATGCAGCATTTTGCATAAATTCAGGTTCTTTATCCCCAGAACTTCTTTTATTTTTTTATTTTTATTTTTTTAATTTTTTTTTTTTTATGATAGTCACAGAGAGAGAGAGAGAGAGAGAGAGAGAGGCAGAGACACAGGCAGAGGGAGAAGCAGGCTCCATGCACCAGGAGCCCGACATGGGATTTGATCCCGGGTCTCCAGGATTGTTCCCTGGGCCAAAGGCAGGTGCCAAACCGCTGCGCCACCCAGGGATCCCCCCCAGAACTTCTTTTAAAAAATTATTTCACTTGTTTTGGGGCACCTGGGTGGCTCAGTCAGTTAAGCTTCTGCTTTGGGTTCAGGCCATGATCCCAGGGTCCTGGGATTGAGCCCTGATTTTGGCTCCCTGCTCAGTGGGGGGGTTTGCTTCTCCTTCTCCTGCTCTCCCTGCTGGTGCTCTCTCTCTCTCAAATAAATAAATAAAGTCTTAAAAAAATAAAATTATTACATTTGTTTTTGTAACCTGACATTTTGATATGCAAATGCTGTTGAATGAAGTAGGATTTCTTGGTTTCCATTTGATTTTAAAAGCTGTAATTTTGGTCAGGACCTTTTTGTATAAATGATTTACAGTGATGAGAAAACAAAACAAATGATCAACTTTCTAGCTATGGTGTTGTGTAAAAGTAAACTTCCAGTGTGGAGGTCATTCCTCTGTACTCACTTGGGAGGTTTACATGGAAGTAACTTTAAAGTTTACATCAAAATGGGTGAGAAACTTTTTCTGGATTTCCGATTTGATTTCTACATTTTGTAAGTTCCTAGAGAATTATTATGAGGCCAAAATGAATAAAGAAGCGATAACATTTCTCATTGAAAACATGTAATTCTCAGAATGATGTTTATATAGATATTAATATTTACAGCTAAAAAGAGTATGTTCTCAATTAAGCCAAAGCTGCTCTAAATCACTGTATAGTAAATAGTTGAACCTACAGCACAGCTAATACTAGTTTGATAATTAATTTAGAAAGCTCCCACATTTACTTTTTTGATAATGACACAGGTAATTCTGACACTGAAGTAAGTTTTTTGGCCCAATTAATTGACTTCCTTTCCTATGAATCTGCAAATGATCAAGACTCAAAGAACGGCATAGCCGACCAGTCATCGGGTACTAAAAAAAGTCCTTAGGGAGCCTGGGTGGCTCAGTTAAGTCTGCCTTCAGCTCAGGTCATGGTCCTGAGGTCCTGAGATTGAGCCCCACATCTGGCGCTCTGCGCAGTGGGGAGCCTGCTGCTCCCTCTCCCTCTGCCTGCTGCTCCCCGTGCTTGTGCTCTCTCTCTCTCTGTCGAATAAAGAAATAAAATCTTCAAAAAGAGTCCTAAAAAAGGCAACAAGTATTTGCCCAATTATTTGCCTTAATAGGGCAACAATTATTTGCCCTATTATATATATATTATTATATTATTAATCACATATATATATATATTATGATTATAAGGTAATCATTCTATTTGCTCAGCAAGTCACATTCCTTGCTATGGCCCCTCTTCTAATCCACTGGCCCAAATGCCTGGGCTGCACCATCTCCTTCCCCTTGGCAGATTGCGACCCCCGTGCATGAGGGCGGAGCTCCCCAGGGGACGCCTGTCAGGTCCTGAGGCCACCAGGGTGACCCACGGGAGGTACCCACCTGAGAAACACAGAGCCGGGGCTGTCTGTGGAGCTGTGCGGGGCCTCGGGGCCTGTCTTTCTCGGGCTGCCGGGAGTCTCAAACCGGAATACCGTGTCACTGGAAGACAGACTTTTCTTCACCATGGTGTACGCGTCAGTCCCCAAGTCAGGACATAAGTTCAGAGGCTCATTTCCAAATCCCCTCAATCCTGTGAAAAACTCTGCGTTTTAGCTTTGCCCAATTCTCACACTGCAGGAAACTTTCTTCACATGACTCCTAATCTAGCTGAGGCTGTTTTTTTTTTTTTTTTTGAAGTCAGTTAATGAGTAACATGTATGTATGACACAGAGTGGTTTTCAACCCACCCACATATCTTCTAAAGGAAAATTAAATGTGTTTGGGAAATTCACCTTTCAATTTACTAATAGGAACGCCACCCAACTCTGTGGATTTAGGCAGAAAAGTCTAGGGAAAGGTAAAGACATGAAAGAGGGAGGTGCAGAAACTGGCAGCATCTAAACATTAAAAGGGGGGATGGGATGCTTCCCTGGATCCTCTGGGCCTGAGCAACAGGGTGGAAAATGTGAATGCGCATTATAAGGCCTTTCCACACGCAGGAAATCATCAGCCCACAAGCATGCTCCAGCTGATGTTCCGCAAGACGCTGGAGAGTTTTCGGGCTGCACTGCGTGGTTCTTGGGTCCCAAAGAGTTCTGGAATTCTTATGGAAGGAGAAATGTACAAAGTCAAGCTCAACATTCAGACTGTGTGTGTTTTGCTGGAGCACAGGCAGCTGTGACCTCTGTCACTGCCTCCACCACTATCACCGCAAAGACAAATAATCCCTTGGAGGGGAAGTTTCCAGCTCCATCTCCTGCTTTCTGGCTCTGTGACCACAGATGATCCCAGACCTGCTGAGTTTGCTGTGTGCCAGGCCTGTCTCACAGTATTAGAATGAAATCTGGGAGAAAATGCGGTGGAAATTTGCCACTATGCTATGTACTATTGTTATTGAAAACCCATTTAAAGGGGCACCTAGGTGGCTTAGTCAGTTAAGCGACTGACTTTAGCTCAGGTCATGGTCCTGGGGTCCTGGGATGAGCCTTTCATCAGGCTCCCTGCTCCGCAGGGAGTCTGCTTCTCCCCTTGCCCCTCCCCCCTGCTCTTGCTCTGTGGCTCTCTCTAAAATAAATAAATAAAACATAAAACAAAAACAAAAACAAAAACATTTAAGCAGGAAATTCAGCAGGTGAGTATCTTTACATGACATTATTCACTCACTCAGCATTCATGCCCAAGGAGAACATCAGGGTGCTCCCACCAGTGTTACAAGCAGCCTTGGAGGATCTGGTCCAAGTAGTTGTGCTTTCTCTCTCCTTGTTCCCCTTGTGATTGATCAGTGACATTGGAGAATGGCTGGCTTAAGAGAAGCATGCAGACTCTGATTGTGGAAGAGAGCAAAGTTTCCTGGGAAATCAAACCTTTAGCCTTGGCCTCATTAGCCCTTTGCTCTAACCAGCTGATAACCAGCCAGGGACAGGTTTATGTTGCTTCGTGTGCAGTACTGAGTCTAAGCCACTTTTGAAGTTAGAGGAAGTGTGCCTTTTGGTGAGAGTTTAGTGGTTCCTGAGGGTGACCAACTCATCCCAGTTTATCTGGGATTTTCTGCTTTTAGCAACAAATGTCTTGCATCTTTGGAACCTCTTAGTGTGAGGCTAATCATGACAGTCGGTCACCCTGCTTCCTGCTGCCATCTTGGTGCAATTCTGATGGTGCACTGCATCTAACTGCACTTCTTGTCCTCCTCCATAGGGCAATATCTGTATTTCTCTTGTCCCCCTTATTTCTATGTTGCAATTATATTGCAAAGACATTAAATAAAGTAAATTCTACCAAAGTGTTGGATTAAACAAACCAGTATCATACTTCATATAATAGCAACCGTCTGCAAGCTTGTTTCTGCTCCTTGTAAGCAAAAAAAGTCTAACCAGGGGTGTATTAATACCTAATGCAACATAATTTGTTACTATCTCCCAGCAGGTTTGGATATTAGCGGGGGCAGTGCTTAATTTAGGAGAGAATATCTCTAAAGGAGGAAATTTCCAGTGTCACCAGACAGTCTTCAGAAATATTTTTAAAGAGAGAAGCTATTGACTCATCAACAATGTTTTATTAGCAAAACTCCATGCTAGCCACAGTGAATGATAGAAAAAAGTGTTAAGAAATGAGTCCTTGATCCAATAATGTCGCTAGGAAGAGACACTATACATAATTGAAAAGTTAACTAAATGCAAATAGGAAGGCAGTAAATCAGGCTAATACTTCTCTAGTCTTTGTACTACCTAATATCTTTTGAGTATCTGTAGCGTCTCTGCTAGATAATTTCAAGACATCTCAGTCACTTCTTGCCCAAACCACATTTTTGCAGGTGATGAAACTATCTGAAAAAGGTTAAGCAACCTGGTCATAATTAAGTGGCCATAAGAATGTGGTCATGCTGGAATCCACTCATTCATTCACTGAATGTTTACTGAGCAGTTAAAAGGAAGTGAGACTGTGTTTATTTACCTTTAAAAGGAGGCAAGATCCTTTGAATCTGGGGTGACTTAGTAAAGCCTACAGGAAAAAGTGGAGTTTGAGCTAAACTCTGAAGAGTGAGGAGAGGTTGGAAGGGCAGAGAGGGAAGGGAGGGGGGAGTCCATGAGCAAATCAGTAGGCATGGGCCAGATTTGTGTGAGTGGCAGAAACTTTGTGTTGGTGAGGAAGGTAGAGGCTTCAAACACTTAGGTTGAAGGCTGAATGCTGAAGGACCCTGAATGCCAGTGGCCAGGTCAAGCTTTTATCTTATAGGTAATAGGAATAAACGGATGAATGCTGAATTTTATGGCCATGTACATGATACTATGAAAGCTGAAAATGACCACAATCATCAGATAATATGATTATTCCCTTAGGCAGCAGCTACCAGTCTATGGGAAGCGACTCTGAAGTAATTGAAACAGTATTGACTGAACTCTTATGTAAGATGTTGAAGTTAATTCCTAATCATAAGAAATTGTGTCAAAGATGAGGTTGGCTGAAGGTCTAGAGCAGGGGTCACTAACTCAAATATCTTCTAGAGCCAGAGAGGTAAGGAAAACTGTGAGGTGGGGATGGAAGCTAGCAGAAAGTGTTAGTAAAGGGCAGTGTGTGTGTGTCCTCCCCAGACATTCAGGTGTTTGTTTGTTTTTCTTTAATTCCAGTGTAGCTAACATACAGTGTTGTATTAGTTTCAGGTGTACAATATAGAGATTCAACGATTTTATACCTTACCCAGTGCTCATCACAATAAGTATTTTTAAATTATTATTTATTTTTCATGAATAATAATAAATAATAAATTAAAATCAAAATATTAATTTTAATTAATTAATTAATCATTTAATTATCTGATAATTTAATTAATTAATTATTATTTATTTATTCATGAAAGACACAGAGAAAGAGAGGCAGAGACACAGGCAGAGGGAGAAGCAGGTTCCTCACGGGGGCCCAAAGCGGGACTTGATCCCAGAACCCCAGGATCATGACCTGGGCCTAAGGCAGATGCTCAACCACTGAGCCATCCAGGTTTCCCACAATAAGTATATTCTTAATCCTCTTCACCTATTCACCTTAATCCCTCCACCCCTTACCCCACCTCTGGTAATCACCAGTATAAAGAACTTATATATAACTCTATACTCCAAATCCAAATAATCCAAATAAAAAATGGGCAGAAGACAAGAACAAACACTTTTCTAAAGAAGATATCCAGATGGCCAATAGACACAGGAAAAGATGCTCAACTTCACTAGTAAATCAGGGACCTTCGAGTTTTGAATGGCCAGATGCCGATGGGATGGGCAACCTAGACCTGTTCCAGAGTGGGATCCAGCTGTGGCTCGCCCTCTCAGTTTTCACTTCTTGATGGGAACTACCTATCCTAAATGTTTCAAAATTTGCTAGTAGCTATGTTTGGACCTTATGTTCAAACAGGAATGAGGTTTTGAAGGCACACACAGAGAAAATGTGATTTCTGATGCTTTATTTTTAAGATTAATGGCAGTTGATTGCTGGGCAGCAATCCACATGAGCAATCCACCGAACTGTCACTGTTTGACCCCTTTGACTGTTTAGACAGGGCCTCTCTTCAAGGCACCCCTAACCTTTGCTGCAGCTTTCATTTTTGCGTGTGAAAATTAAAACAAACACCAGGCGATCAAATATAAACTGGAGTAGGACATTTATGTAAATATAGCTATAAAAAGAGCATAGACGCTGGCAAAAAAATGATGTTAAGTAGAATACAACTAAAATAAAGATAGCAGAGACCTTATTATCTCCTTTTCTGGAAACTCAGATCATAGAAACTAAACGAGAGAGAAACTGACAATTAGCAAGCAGTTTGAAGCAAGATCACCAGTGATTCAAATATCTCATTTTGCTGATGCTCTCCAATAAGTCACATGTAGTATCTTTAGAGATGGTAAAAGAGGTTTTTTTTGTTTGTTTGTTTGTTTTTTGAGACGCTATTTATTTATTCATGAGAGACACAGAAAGAGAGGCAGAGACATAGGCAAAGGGAGAAAGAAGCAGGCTTCCCATGGGGAGACTGATGAGGGACTAAATCCCTGGATCCCAGGATCCCAGGATCATGACCTGAGCCCAAGGCAGATGCTCAACCACTGAGCCACCCTGGTGCCCCTGTAAAAGAGGTTACCTGGAGATTCTGAATTCATCATGGAATTAGCCAGATAGGGAAAACTAGTGTTTGGGTATATCATGAACATATGCACATTTTTGGAGTGATTTAGAATGTGCATACATTGGATTTTAAATGGATTTTGGGGGTAGGTTGTCTGCATTGGAAAGGTTCTTTACCTCTCCAAACCCCTGTAAAAGAGGTTCTGGTGTAGAAAACAGAAAAATGAATTTGGGCTATTTGATTTAGTAAGTTGAGTTAACAGCTCTGGACTTTCTTTTCCTTCTACTGGATGGAAAGATATTAGGCTAGATTTGGCCTGCTGGCATCTTCTGTTTGGCCTTTGCCATGTTTCATAATTAGAAATTTCGTATCCATTTCACAATACAACATTGTTATCTGACCTTGCCTAGAAAATCGAATGTGTGTGGTAATAGTCGGCTGATACTAAGTGGTAGCGCCCTCTTGTGGTGGGGCTGACTTCTGCAATCTGCCTCTGCAACCCCTCCTCAGTCCACCTCTCTGCTTTCTGCCTGCTTTGACTTACTGGGTTCTCAAAACAGGTTTTTGGGTTTTAAAGCCTCACCCTACATGATGTTGCAAGTCTTCTCTAGTTACACTTTTTTCTCCTTAAACCTGACTCATTGCAGTTTCAGTGTAAGAATTTTTTTCTATCTTCAATGAAACAAGGTTCATAATTCGAAGAAGTCAGTCTTACGCAATAATGATAATCTTTGGTTACTATGTCTAGCCATTCTGAAGTCCACAAATACAGACCTGATATGTCTGCTGGTGCTCAGTCCGGTAAGGGCTGGAGGACTCATGCCTGTATATCTTCTTCCTCCTCCTAGAGGTGTGGGAATGGGATGTTGATGCACAAGATCAAACTGAAAACACTAGATGAACAACAGAGCTTCAAAATTGCGCTTTCCAGAGGCATGGCACATAAGTTTCCACTTAGAAATACACTAAATTTCCTCTCCAATTAAGCAGTGTTGCAGTGTTTGTGCTTTAAGATTTATCTGATGGATTATACTGTACTCAGGTTAGTATGAACACAAGTTAGTTTTATACTCGAAGCACATGCTGCTGCCATTTGGGCAAGCAAATGTGTGTTCTAGTGGAGTTACCTGGAGATTCTGAATTCATCATGGAATAGCTAGATAGGGAAAACCAGTGTTTGGGTATATCATGAATGTATGCACATTTCTAGAGTGATTTAGAATGTGGATTTGGTGGGGGGGGTAGACTGTCTACATTGGAAGGGTTCTTTACGCCTCCAAACCTCTGGAAAAATGGTGATAATAATGGTATCCATCTCAAAGGCTACGGTGAGGACTGGATGATCATATACAGCTCCAGGATGAAGCCTGTACTGTAGTCAGCATGCAGAAACTATTATTGATGATGATGCGTAGGAAGGTTATGATTTAAGCCGGTCATATTTTCACTAAAGTTGAGTAGAGTCTTATTAAAATATAACCAAAAGATATAATTTCCTTTTCTGAATGTGACATCGGCCGTGTGCCTGCATGTGGCTTGTGGAAGACCTCATCCCAAACAGAGATCAAGTAAGTTTTAACGGTTTGTGCCTGTGGGGTGTTGACATTGGTGAATGCTCAGTCTAACTAGTGAACTGGGTCCTATCTCAAGCCCAGTACTACTTCCTCAAGCTGCTTTGGTCTGTGGTTTCCATAG